ACCACCTCTGCTCCGAAAGTAAAGGAGACACCACGGTCGTTCTCGCCCCAACCCTGCACGTCCTTGTCTGGGTCAGACCACAGCAGGTCACACAGCAGGCCCTGGTCAGGCACGTCCGTGGGCCGCATGATACGCCGGATCTGCTCCATGGACTGCAGGTCCGGGGACAGTCCTGGGGACACGGGGGCGGCCACTTCCTCGAACAAGCCTCAAAACAGAGGGCCCCCCACCCAAGGAAGCTTCTGCCAGTCAGCCCCACCCCTCCCACTTCCCCTGGACTCCTGAGAGCCCAGGCAGGCAGAAGCCATGGTCTCCCCTCTGCGTTTTCAAGTTCCCAGACACAAGCACAGAGCCGCCCCTGCCTTCAAGGAGCACAGCGCTCCCTGGAGCAGGAAGAGCAGTCAATTCCATGAGGGACACGAAACCACAACAGGGGATGCCTGCAGCCCAGGGGAGGGGCAGGGTATGGGAAGCCTCCCTGGAAGAAGTGACATCCAAGACAAGATGCAGGGGAGAGCGGGTCCAGGCCACTGGGAACACTCTGCAGCCACCAGCTTCACCCTAAGGCCCCGGGGGTGCAGACGGGGTTCTTCCCTCCCTTCCCTGCTCCCTCACCTCCGTGGCAGCAAAAGATCTTCTCATCCACAATGGCGGCGATGGGCAGGCAGTTGAAGCAGTCGGTGAAGGTTTTCCACAGCTTGATGTTGTAGCGTCTCTTGCCTGCCCGGGAGAAGCAGAAGCTGGGAGAAGAGACAAGGAGGGCACGGACCCCTGCCCCACCCTTGTCCCCACTGCCTACCGGCCTCCCAGGAGCAATTCTAAAGCCCCTGAGTACACTGGAACCCCGATCCAGACCAGCCTCAGGGTTGGCACCCACCCCTGGCCCATGAACAGGGCCAGGTGGAGACCTGTCTTAGTTGACTTCAGCTTCAGGACGCCAGAGTCCAGTCCACATGTGCATCCTAAGGGCTTATGGTGCATGCACTCGAGGGGAGTGTGACCAGGCAAGGCCCGAGGGGAAAGTATTAGGATGGCAGCATTCCCCTCAGCAGCCGCTCACCAGGTCCCATGCCAGGGAGGGCAGGGCAGACACCAAATGACCCAGGCCCTGCCTTTGCGGAGCAGATACCTCAGCCTAGCAGATATCTGGCCAATGTGAGGGTCCCACTGATTAGCGGAGAGCGCAGGCTGGGAGCTGGGCAGCCCGGACACTCAGGTCACTCACACTCATCGTAGAAGCCGTAAATGCGGTTGATGCTGGCACACTCGTGGTTCCCACGGAGCAGGAAGAAATTCTCGGGGTACTTGATCTTATAGGCCAGCAGCAGGCAGATGGTCTCCAAGGACTGTTTGCCCCGGTCCACATAGTCCCCCAGGAAGAGGTAGTTGCTCTCCGGAGGGAAGCCACCATACTCGAACAGCCGCAGAAGGTCGTAGTACTGGCCGTGGATGTCACCTGTGACCCAGGGACCCGGGTAAGCTAGGCGCAGGGGCTGGACTTCGAGCCGACACACCAGGATTGGGCTCAAAGAGAGGGATCCAGGAACTCTGGGGGGCCAGTGTCACTTTCAGGAAGCCAAAGGGGCCTGGGCGGGGGCTCACCGCAGATCTTGAGGGGCGCCTCGAGCTCCAGAAGGATGGGCTGGCTCAGGAAAATCTCCCGGGATTTGAGGCACAGACCACGGATCTCGTTCTCTGTCAGCTGCACATTCTTTCCAGGCCGCGAGCCCTGCACTGGGGGCGGAATGGGGTGTCAGAACCCCGGCCCCTCAGGCAGGAGGGTCGGGCGACGTGGGTGGGCTCCTGGGCACCTCTGGGCCCCTCACTGCCCGGAGGCAGCGGCTGCCTCTTGGCCTCCCAGACCGCGGCCTCAAGCCCTCCCAGAGAAGCCCCCAACTGCCCCCA